ACCGCTGCCTTTCTGGAAGAAGGTATGCCAGGTGGGCATGGGCCTTATTTATCAGACTTGTAGGTCTGGAAGAAACTACATCAGCCAGGGATACCACAGCCAACTCAGAAGACAGGATGAGGGTCACACCTGTGTGTTAAAGAGGTTTCTGCCTCCTTGTGTGTCATAGTAAAGAATACCAAAGAAGGTAAGTGCTTTCTTTCTCACCAACACAGAAAAGAGAGCAACAAACATATGTTTTTACATAGGAAATAAATACAGGTTTGGTTAGAGGACAGAGGTCAGAGAAAGTCCCTGTTATCAGCTCATCCAGGGAGGGTCTTCACTATGTGTGTTTTGAGGTTCACTTGGTGGGAAGATAAACAATTACCAACACTTTTTTAAAATGATAGTCTCAAATATGGATAATGCTAAGGTAAATCCTAGAAGGACAGGGGGGGGTCTCACCCATGTGGTGTACATGTGCTATTTACCTGAGGAGATGGCTCACTGGGGTAATTGCCAGCAGGAAAAGTAATTAGTCATTAGCAAAAGGTATCAATTCAATAGTCTGACTCTACATTAAGCTCCTTTTTCATGTTTGGTTTTACAAAGCTTTTCTTTTTTTCCCTTGAGAATTATTTTAGTTCTCCTTTCTACTCCTTAGTGACTTCTAGAATGTTCTTTACAGGTCTGTAGATAATATCAGTTTCTTCTCTTAAGACAGCCATATGTGATACCTATTTAGTCAGAACCACTTTTTAGTTTCTTATATGGAAATTTTTTTGAAAAATATGATTTCTTGATTTTTAATTATCAAAGTTACAATAAATTATAGAAGTTAAAAATGGAAGTTTGTCACACAAGCCCATTCTCCAGAGATAATCGCTATTAACAATTTGGTATATGCTATTTGATTATATACTTGCTGATATATTTTTTTATATAGATGAGATCATATTAGGCATAATATTCTGCAATTTGCTTTTCTTCATGTATTAATGTGTCTTGGGGATATTTTCATGCCATTACATACTAATTTGCTGTGTTCTTTGTCATAGCTGAAAGCTATTCCATTCTCCTTTTAATGTCCCATGATGTATTTTGTTAATTCTGTACTGATAAAATATTTAAGGTGTTTATTATTTGGGGGAGAGAGATATTTTAAGAGATTCTGAGAGTGTCATTTAAAAAGGTTCCTCATCTATGGTTTTCATAGCAGCAACAAACATTTGCATAGTCTCTTCACATATAACCTCATCTCCCCCTCGTCTTAACCCTGTAATGGAGTTACCACCACCCATTCACAGATGAGAAACAGATGAGATCACGGAACCCCATCCTGATGTCTGGGTGCTCCCTGCCCCCTTTCACGGTATATAAAGGCACATCGTTTCTGTCCTTGATGACCAGGGTTAATTACGACTGGGGTTGCTGCCTGAGGAGAGTCTCCATTTCTTTCACCCCTGCAGGTTATTTCCAATAGTTTACTGGCCCCTGATAGTTACTCCTCTCTCACTCCATGGCAATGCCATACTTCTATCTCAACGACTTTCTTTTATAGGGTGGGTGATAGTCAAAGTTGTCTTATTTTGCCACCATTTTGGGATTTATAAACTCATGAGAAACAAGGTGCCTGAAAGGCAAAAGAGGACTGATTTAATAATAACCATCTTTGACCCAGAAATAATCAGTATCCATCCTATTGGCTTCTGGTTGTCTTGGTCAGCTAGGGGGAGCTGGAACAAAATACCACAGGTGAGTGGCTTAAACAACATACATTTTTTTTCTCACAGTTCTGGAGGCTGAGTAGTCCAGGATCAAGATGCCAGCAGATTTTATTTGTGTTGTGTGCTCTCTTCTTGGCTTGCAGATGGCCACCACCTTACTCACATGGCAAAGAGAGAGAGGGAGACAGAGGGAGAGAGAGACAGAGAGAGAGAGAGAGAGAGAGAGAGAGAGATCTAATCTCTCTTCTCTTTTTTTTTATAAGAATACTAATCCCATCATGTGTTTACCACCCTCATGACTGCACCTAAGCCTAATCACCTCCCAAAAGCCCCACCTCCAGATACTATCATACTGGGAGTTGGAACGTCAATGTGTGAATTTATGGGGGACACATCCATTTTATAACAATGCTGTATTGAGATAGTATGTCTTCTCATGCTTCCTAAATTTGAGCCAGGGACATGTTTTTGGTTACTGATATTTTAAAATAAATATATCAGCTCCTATCTGTTAACATGTATTGAGATTCTATAATATACTGAGAGCACTTTAAATACATTATTTATTACTCATATATAGAGAGGAGAAAACTGAGTCTATGAAGGGTTAAGTGACCAAGGTCTAGTGAGAAGCTAATCTGGAATTTTCACCTGCACCAGTTTGCTTCCAAACCCAAACACTTTAGGACACAACATGGCTCTACAGGCAAGTTACCGATGATCAAAACAAGTTGTAAGTGAGTCACTGTAGACTCAATCATGACTGATGCCCCGTTCAGCTCTAAAGCTGTGCAAGTTATCTAGAGAAAGTTGGGTTGATTTTGTCATGACGGCTATTCACTTTGACCCATACTCTGGTTCTGGTTTCATGACATCTCTTACATCTAGGGATCATTTTGCACACACACAAAAGAGGGATGATAATCTTTTTTTCTTTGATTATTTAGTTAAAATAGGCTGACCAACATAAGTAAGGTGAGACTTTTCTTTGACTTGGAAGGGAAAAGATAACTTTTTGACAATCCTCAAGACGATAACTTTAAAAATAGAGGAAGTAGAGTGGAGTAGATGTGAGGTTAGGGGAAGAAATCTAGAAATGGAATCCACAGGCACCTGGGTGGCTCAGTCAGTTAAACATCTGACTTTGGCTCAGGTCATGATCTTGTGGTTCATGAGTTTGAGCCCCGTGTCGGGCCCTGAGCTGGTAGTGCAGAGCCTGTTTGGGATTCTCTGTGTCCTTCTCTCTCTGCCCCTCCCCAACTCATTCTCTCTCTCTCTCTCTCTCAGAAAGAAATAAACAGTTAAAAAAAAAAAGTGGAATCCATTCTCAACATTAAGTCAGTACATCCCACATTGCTTCCTGAAGAAGAGCTAGGAAAAGATTGATCTTTATTGGGTAAAAATGAGTGTGGCAAGAAAGAAAGAAAGAAAGAAAGAAAGAAAGAAAGAAAGAAAGAAAGAAAGAAAGAAAGAAAGAAAGAAAGAGA